CTTCACAAGGAATGGACTGTTAGTAGGGTTGAGTTGGCACTGTTTCTCCAGATGTGTGATTAGTTGGCTCTGGTTGCTCACTAGAGAAGTGAGCACATCATACTTCTTTTCCAGCTCTCTGTAACTGCTGGACACCTGAAGCACCTGTCAGGATTTGCCATCGCACAAATGAAAAAAAAAATGATCCAAATATTTGAAAAGTCTAAAATAACTTTCCATAAAATGAATGCATCAATACATCCCTGGTGAAAAACAAGTGTGCTTGACTGTGCAATTGTAGTGTACTTCGAATCTTAAAATTTATTTGCAAAAAAATGTATGCAGAGAATATAATTGTATATTTTTAGTGTAATGCAATATATTTTTTATTATAACGTGTATTGCAGATAATATAATATTAATGAAATAAAACGCCACTTAAGTGTATTTAAAGAGACTGTAAACTTTCATTACTGTTTTTAACACATTTACTGTCAGGATTTGCCATCGCACAGTTGGTGTACTTCAAATCATTCAAAAAATGCACACAGATAATATAATAGTATATTTTTATTGTAATGTAATCCATTTATGTGTATTGCAGATAATATGTGACCCTAGACCACAAAACCAGTCTTAAGTCACTTGGGTATATTTTTAGCAATAGCCAAAAAAACACTGTATAGGTCAAAATTATCGATTTTTCTTTTATGACAAAAATCATTAGGATATTAAGTAAAGATCATGTTCCATGAAGATATTCTGTAAATTTCCTACCGTAAATATATCAAAACTTAATTTTTAATTAGTAATATTCAATGCTAAGAACCTCATTTGGACAACTTTAAAGGTGATTTTTTTTTCCAGTAGTTTGATTTTTTTGCACCCTCAGATTCCAGATGTTCAAATAGTTGTATCTCGGCCAAATATTGTCCAATCCTAACAAACCATACATCAAAGGAAAGCTTGTTTATTCAGCTTTCAGATGATGTATAAATCTCAATTTCTAAAAATGGACCCTTATGACTGGTTTTGTGGTCCAGGGTCACATATAGTATTAAATAAATAAAACAGTGGTCCAAATAACTTTCCATAAAATGAATCCATCAATACATCCTTGTGAAAAACAAGTGTGCTTAATAGTATTGAATGTGCACTTGTAGTGTACTTCAAATCTTAAAAGTATTTTTTTTAAAGGTACACAGATAATATAATAGTATATTTTTATTGTAATGTAATATATTTTTTATTATAATGTGTATTGCAGATAATATAGTATTAATGAAATAAAACACCAATTAAGTGTAATTAAAGAGACTGTGCACTTTCATTACTGTTTTTAACACATTTAAGTACACTTTGTAGTGCTCTTTGTACTAATGTCACATTAAAAGTTTTACTTTACAGTATTAGTCACTTGGGTATATTTTTAGCAATAGCCAAAAAAACACTGTATAGGTCAAAATTATCGATTTTTCTTTTATGACAAAAATCATTAGGATATTAAGTAAAGATCATGTTCCATGAAGATATTCTGTAAATTTCCTACCGTAAATATATCAAAACTTAATTTTTAATTAGTAATATTCAATGCTAAGAACCTCATTTGGACAACTTTAAAGGTGATTTTTTTTCCAGTAGTTTGATTTTTTTGCACCCTCAGATTCCAGATGTTCAAATAGTTGTATCTCGGCCAAATATTGTCCAATCCTAACAAACCATACATCAAAGGAAAGCTTGTTTATTCAGCTTTCAGATGATGTATAAATCTCAATTTCTAAAAATGGACCCTTATGACTGGTTTTGTGGTCCAGGGTCACATATAGTATTAAATAAATAAAACAGTGGTCCAAATAACTTTCCATAAAATGAATCCATCAATACATCCTTGTGAAAAACAAGTGTGCTTAATAGTATTGAATGTGCACTTGTAGTGTACTTCAAATCTTAAAAGTATTTTTTTTAAAGGTACACAGATAATATAATAGTATATTTTTATTGTAATGTAATATATTTTTTATTATAATGTGTATTGCAGATAATATAGTATTAATGAAATAAAACACCAATTAAGTGTAATTAAAGAGACTGTGCACTTTCATTACTGTTTTTAACACATTTAAGTACACTTTGTAGTGCTCTTTGTACTAATGTCACATTAAAAGTTTTACTTTACAGTATTAATTTATGGTTTTAATAATCTTGTGTCATGCTTTAAAGAAGTGTGTTATGCAACATTACATTTAAATATTGCTTTAAAATGTACAGTTAATCTATTTCAACTAAATTACAACTTTATTACAAATGTGTGTTTAAAAATACACTGAAGTACATGACATCTTTAAATAGAAATGGCATTAACATTTTAGTTTACCATAAATGCTTGTCAAAAGATGTGCTTAAGTCCTACTTAAGTGGGTAATTTATTTGCAATTAAGTGTCTAAAACATTACATTCAGTTCATACTTAAGTATATTCTCTTAAACTATATTACTTTTATATTATGTTAAAGTAAACTTTTTTGTTGTTTATATTCAAATCTATTTCAAATCTATGCACAGTTTGAGACATTCACAGTGAAAAATCTGAGAAGCAGGAGACTTAAACAAAAGGTTGGAGAAAATAATTGTTTCTTTACAAGGGAAAGGTTTTTAGCTACCCTGGGCTGTTGCATTAAGCACCAAACTCTCAAGCCTCCGTTGCTCCAAAGCCTGATCCTTCTTCTGAACGATCTCATTCAGCGGTTGGGCGTAGAGTTGGGTGATGCGGGTGTTCACGTTGACGCTCTCTGAGTCTTCAGACTCAGAGGCCCACAGTTTTGATGCATGCCAGATGTTCATGTTTAATGATGGGGGGTGAAACACAGTTTTGCCTTTTCTTGGGTTAATTAGCATGTCAACAGAAACAGGGCCTGAGTCAGCCTATCGTTTCATCCGATCGTCAAAACCAATTGCTAAAGTCAGTCCTGATGAAAATGACATAAATGTCATAAGCAATTAACAAATCTAAACATTGACTGAGACAACTACTGAAAACAGCAAAACAAAAGTACTAAAAAGAACACTGAAGCCTATGGAATTAGAGAGGATACCTATTAATACTAAAATGGCCAAAAGTAATCACAGTTTGTTGAAATGTTAAGCAAATTTGTCTAAAGTCATTGTGAATTATCATTTAATAAATACTTTGGAAAAGTTTCACTTATGACAAAAATGGCATTGTTCAGAACATATATATTTAAATTATTTTGAGGCTCAGTCAAATACCAAAGTAATACTTATGGGGTATTTCAACAGAAGGATTTTATCATCTCTATGCTTATTTAAATGTAAACTCGTTTTTTAGTTATTATTTGTTTAAAAGAAAACAAAATCACATTATGAACAAATATTTCTCTTACCTCAGTTATATCACCAGATGATTTTCTCTTTTGGTTTTGGCTTTGTTCAACAAATGCCTTTTCCTCTGACTGATGCAAACAAGATATTCAGCTCCGAGATTCTGGTCTGTGCTCTTTATAACTAAAAGATTATAAAATCAATGACAAATCACTATCATAAAGAGAAACAAGCCTTTTCCATTAATAGTTAAACATAATGACTGTACACTCTAAAAAATGCTGGGTTAAATATAACCCAGCTATTGGGTTGTTTTGACCCAGCGGTTGGGGTGGTTTGA